GGCCCAGGCCCAGGCCCAGGCCCAGGCCGCGCGCCCGGCCTCCCCGACACCGCGCCCGCCGCTCCTCACCACTCGATGCGCGGCGCCGCCTTCCGCCGAGCATTGCGGTTCAGACGCTTGCGGTTGACATTGTAACCGAACTTCTGCCGGCGGGTCTTGCCCTTGGCCTTGGGCATGGCGTTGGAACACAGCGGTTTCCCCCACCCCCGCCGCGCGCTCCGCGCTCTCCGAACCGCGTGTGGAAGCGGACTTCTTCCGGTGGGCCGGGCCTCTTCTGCAAGGCTTCTTGGGAAACGTAGTCTTTCCCGGATGACTTTCCGCGCTGAGGACTACCACTCCCAGGATGCAACGGGAGCGCCCCCCCCCGCCCTCCACGCATGCGTACTCTGGTCAATTTTCGTGACCTCATTAGGAGGCGGAGCGTGGCGTCCCGGTGTTCTCCGACTTGGGTCCTCCAGGAACATGGCTACTACTCCGGACCCTGTGAATCCGGAGATGCCCTTTGAACCATCGCAGCCCCCCGTCATCGAGGGCTTCAAACCCACTGCGCACGGCCAGACGGAAAGCTTCAAGGAAAAGTTCATCCGCAAGACCCGCGAGAACCCAATGGTGCCCCTAGGTAAGTGGGTGTCGTGGGAACCTTCGACCGGGAGCTGCCATCATGTCCGAGGCGGGGGGAATGATATAGGGGCGGGCCGGAGGTGGGAAGGCTAGAGGTGTGGCGAAGGGGCGGGGCGATTAGGGATGAGACCAATCGGAGCGGGAGTGGCGCAGCCTTAGGGGCGGGCTTAGGGCGGAGGGGGCGGGGCCTGGGCCGAGGAAGACACACCCCCCACCCGCTGCCCGGCCGCCGCGTCCCCGGCGCTGTCTGGAGGGGGCTCGGGCCCAGGGCGGTGGTGCGGGTGGCTACATCCAGAAAGGATCGGCCATCCCGGCCTGTTGTCCCCTCCCCAGGCTGCCTGGGCACCACGGCCGCCCTGTGCTACGGCCTCTACTGCTTCCACCGGGGCCAGCCCCACCGCTCCCAGCTCATGATGCGCACCCGGATCGCCGCCCAGGGCTTCACGATCGTGGCCATCTTGGTGGGTTTGGCTGCGTCCTCCGTGAGATCTCGGGCCTGAACTCACGCCCGAGCCTTTGCAAGCTCCCACGGAGAGGATTCCAGAGTCTAGGAGCCAACCACCAGCCCCGAGGGAAGACATCAAACAGGTCCCGTTGTGGAAGGATGTGGCCCATTGTTGTCATCGGCAGGGTTTTTGGTTGTTGTTGTTGTTTTCTTCAGAAATCCCAGGTTTGGTTTAGTTTGGGTTTGCCATACTTGGGTTTGTGCCACATCCCCTCCGCTCGCTACTGAATAAACTCTAATCCGCATGGAGTTTGGTGAATTCTCTTCTCCACGAACTATAGGTTGGTGATCTTTTACAAGTCTAGTCACCCGTCTTCATAACTGTCACCTGGGGCACTGGGTCAAAGTACTGATTCCCAGATGCCCCTTCTTTAAATTCTAGTTCAGTGGTCCTGGTGCTATTTGGAGAGAAGGGGGGAGATCTATCATATCAGTAGCTTTCCAACTGGGGAAGTCCGCCACCGTTGTGTCAGAACAAGGGTGTTCTGGCCTTCCATCTCTTCGCACCACTCCAAACCTCCTGAGAGGTTTGATCTAGACCATCCCACATTTTGTTGTTTTGTGCCAGTACTGGGGCTTGAACTTAGGGCCTGGGCGCTGTCCCTTAGCTTCTTTGCTCAAGGCTAGTGCTCTACCACTTCAGCCACACGCCTCCACTTCCAGCGTTTTCCTGGCTTATGGTGAATTTTTTTTTTCTAAGTCTGGGAGATTTCTCAGGCTGGCTATGAACCATGATCCTCAGATGTCAGCCCTTGAGTAGCTAGGCTTACAGGCATAAATCGCCGGCCCTAGGCTCCATTCCACGTTTTGAAGTCTTCAGCAGGTTTTCTTGGTCCTGCTGTGAATTTTCGGACCTAGGACCCTCCCATGGGTGACCCCTTTTGCAATACCAACTTCAGGTTGGCAGAAGGGAAGAGGGCATGAAGAAGATGAAGAGATCCCCTCCTTGAGGCCCTGACAGTCTAGATATGAGTGAAAAGTGTATGTTCGAAGCCATCTAAGTTCATTGAATCTTTTACGTTCTCAGCTTGGAGACATTGCAAATGGAGAGCAGTGATTGTGTTCACCCTAGACCTCAAGATACAAGGAAAGGCTGGGCACCAGTGGCTCATGCCTGTAATCCTAGCTACTCAGAAGGCTTGAGATCTGAGGATTGCAGTTGGAAGCCAGCCCAGACAGCAAAGTGCAGGGGAAAAAAAAAAATCATTGTCAACCAAGCAGGAAGTGGAGGTGTGTGCCCAAGTGGTAGAATGCCGGCTTGAGTGTAAAAGGCGATAATGCCCAGACCCTGAGTTCAGTTCCCCAGCACACGCGCGCGCGCACACACACACAAACACACAGATGAGGACTGGGGAACGTTTAGAGGGGATAACCACTATTGGTTAAGTATTAGTTTTATGCTATCTTTCCCCAAAAAGTGCTTACTCCTTCCTGAAAATGTGACCATCTTTGGCAATAGGTAGTGTAGTCGAATGAGGTCGTAAGGGTGAGCCTGAGTCCAATTTTCACAAGGGAGCAAGGGGCCAGTGGCTCACACCTGTAATCCTAGGATTGCCCAGGAGGCTGAGATCTGAGGATCACATTTCAAAGCCAGCTCGGGCAGAAAAGTCTGTGAGACTCCTAGCTGCAATGAACCACCAAAAAAGCCAAAAAAAAAAACAAACAAACTTAAGTCGTGAGTGAAAAAGCTAAGTGAAAACTTGGCCACCGTTCAATATGAAGCCAGAGGACATGGGGACATCAAGAGGCCCTGGGGAGATGAAGGGGCCATGTGACAATGGAAATATTTGCAAATCCAGGAAAGCCTGAGCCGCTGGAGCCAAGGAAAGAGCCAAGGATCCTTCCCTAAGGCCACCAGGGAGAATGGCCCTAATGATAACTCCATCTTATACTTGAAGCCTTCAGAACAGAGACAGTGTTGTGAGCCAACCAGCTTGTGATACTTTGTTACAGCGGCTCTTGGGACTAAATACTGTTGGCAACTACTCAGACATTTTTTTTGACATGGTACAGATCACAATGGCTTCCTGGTCCTGTTTACTGCCTGTACTAAAGGAGAAGAAGGTGTGGTTGCTGATTGTTTATCCTAAATCTACAGGAGGACTCAGCTTGAAAGGGAGACAGAACTAGACACAGCTATAGACCTCCACATCTACAGGGTTCTGGCCAGCTCCAAACAGGAATCTGGCAATAGCTACCTTCACCAATCTCTCAACCCAGCCTTAGAAGCCACTACTAGGCACCTCTGGGTTTAACATTTCCTCTGGGGGAGTCTTAGTGTCTTTGGCTGTATTTATTTGGTTTCTGTACTGATACTGGGGCTTGAACATAGGGCCTGGGCACTGTCATTCAGCTTTTACCCTCAAGACTAGTATTCTAGGGGCTTGGAAATGTGTCTTCGTGGTAGAGTCCTTGTCTAGCATTCATGAAGTCAAGGCTTCCATTCCTTAGTACCACATAAACAGAAAACACAGGAATTGCACTGTGGCTCAAGTGGTAGAGTGCTAACCTTGAGCGAAAGAAGCTCAGGGACAGTGCCTAGGACCTGAGTTCAAGCCCCAGGACTGGCAAAAAGAAAGGAAGGAAGAAAGATTAGTATTCTACCACTTGAGCCACTGCTTCAGGCTTTTTGGTGGTTAATTGGAGACAAGAGTCACAGCTTTGTCTGCCTGGGCTGGCTTCAAATCAGCATCCTCAGATCTCAGCCTCTTGAGTAGCTAGAATGACAGGTGTGAGCCACCAGCACCCAGCTGTCTAGATTCAGTCTCTGCCTCACAGGTGGTTAAAAACCAGGCTGCAGTAAAGCATTCTGTACAAGGTGGGCTTTCTCCTGGGGAGAGAGGCAGCAGACATACACAGCCTGGGTTGTCTCCCAGATTTCCAAGGGATACATCCTCACCTCTTAATGCCATGAAGCTGGGGGAGAGGGAGGGGGGAGATGTAAGCACAAACTGAACCCTGAGACCAGTTATGGCTTCCAGAGAAATGAGGATGATAATAAATACGTGTAAAAAGAGTTAACAACACACCCTTTAAGCCAAGAAGGAAAAAAAAAAAAAACCGTCAGGAAGGACAGTCACAACTGATCGGACTTGGGGGGAGGCATGAGGGCCAGAAAGGAGAGAGGGATGGGGGACCCCCCCTTCCCGATCCTAGGAGATGGAGAGGAACCAAACCAGCTGTGCCCAGCAGCTGCCAGGGGAAGAACTTCCCCGTGGCCCCAAGCAACTGCTTCTCCTCTGGCCCTTGACAGCTTATACTCTATGGCCGAGCTACCCAGCGGGCACCTAGCGGGACAGCGGCGTCTGCTTCAGAGACATGAGCACCGAACGCAGCCGCGACACGTCTTTGCACTGCTTGCTACTCTTCGGGTTGAAGTCACACAGCTGAGCCACCTTCTCCCATTCTGTGCCGGGGGTCTCCTCCTTGGATTCCTTCACAAAAGCCTCTTCAGATGCCCTGTGGAGGGAGAAGAGTCAGAGATTTCATGATTGGGGGTGGGAGGGGGCTGCCAGGTCAGTACCAAGCTATAAGAGGACATTATCTCGTCCTTCCCTCCCAAAGCCTGTAACCATCATATCTTTGTCAGCAAAGGAAACCCAAGTGGCTCATGTCTGTCATCCTAGCTACTCAGGAGGCTGAGATCTGAGGATCACGAAGCCAGCTGGGGCAGGAAAGTCTGTGAGACTCTATTCTCCAATGAACCACAAAAGGCCGGAAGTGGAGATGTGGCTCATGTGGTAGAGTGCTAGACTTGAGCACTAAAGCTCAAGGACAGCTCCCAGGCCCTGAGTTCAAGCCCCACCAAGACTGGTACAGAACAACAAAAATAAAGGATTGTTAGGGTGAAAAGCTGACTGTGTCCTCTTGGGTCAGCAAGGATCCCTGAAGAGTCCTTTTTCGAGGAAGACTTCTAGTTCACTTTTTATTTTTTAGTGCCAGTCCTGGGGCTTGAACTTGGGGCTTGGGGCACTGACCCTTAGCTTTTTCACTCAAGGCTAGAGCTCCGCTGCTTGAGCTCCATTTCTGCACATTTTTGGGGTGTTAAGTGGATAAAAGACTTTCAAACTTTCCTACCTGGGCTGGCTTTGAACTGCGATCTTCAGATCTCAGCCTCCTGAGTAGCTAGGGTGACAGGCATAAGCCACCGCTGCCTGATTCCTTCTTACACTTTGAAGTCCAGCTGGAGGTAACCGATCTTTTGGGTGGGCCCTGGGTGGTATCCAGAGCGCCCTGAATATCATCTCACGTGACTCTTAGAATGCACTCCAGACCAAAGGAATGTGAGGTAAGGAACATGTGTATCTTATTCCTATTTGAACAGATAGTGGTAGAGGCTCAGTACCAGCCCAGAGGAAGAGGGAGCAGAAGGAAAGAGAGGAAGATGCTGTGCTGTGCGCTAAGTTGTGCAAGGGAAAGGTGAGCTCAGAGGGCAGCAGAGGATGCTTGGAAGTACTGAGCACACAGTCGTGTGTCCCACAACAATCAGAAATATCCGCATTTCCCCTGCCAACTCAGAATCCCCAACACCACCCTCCAGACTGCCATAGCAAACAATGAGGCAGCACCGAGGAGACCTGTGTAAGATCCCAGCTCGAAATACTCACAGATGGGGTTGGGAAGGTGGCTCAGAGGTAGAGCGCTTGCCTTGCATGCATGAGGCCCTGGGTTCGATTCCTAAGCACCATATAAGCAGGGGAAGTGGTGCTGTGGCTCAAGTGGTAAAGTGCTAACCTTGAGGAAAGAAGTCCAGGGACAGTGCCCAGGCCCTGAGTTCAAGCCCAAGGACTGGCAAAAAAAAAAGTCACAGTTGGAGCTGGACTCGAACCGATGTGAGTGAGGTTCCTGGTTGGGGGATGGGGGAGCGGGGAGGGTGGGTCCAAGTCACTCTGTCCATTTGAGGATGGAAGGGAAGAACAGCATCCTGTTGCTAGGAGTCAGAGGCTCACACCGATCATCCTAACTACTCAAGGAGGCTGAGATCTGAGGATCCTG